TTCTTGTTATTGCTTTTTTTTTTTTTGCTTGGTTCTTCATCATTCTTTCATTCCTTTTCTATTTTTATTTTTTATGATTTTCTCTTGGTGTTTTGGGACGAGGTAACGTGTAGGTGCGGTTGCGTTGTTTTTTTTTTTTTTCTCTTCAAGGAGAATAATAACGACGACAACATAAGAAAAAAAACAAGATAAAAAAAAAGAGGAGAGGGAACGACTAGTCCATATAATCAAGGGTGAAAAGAAAAGTACAATAATAATAACTACATTCCGAAGCAGAAAGAGAGGAACTGAACAATGTCGGCATGGGCAGATGAGATTGACTCCATCTCTATGGATGAGGAATACGAAGAGAAGGATGTGATGATGGAGAAGCAGGCGGAGGATCTCACAAGGATGGCATGGGAAAACGCCAAGACAGTGGTGGAGACCATCACCGACAGCGAGAACAAACGGTATGAGATTGTGAAGAAGGTGCGCACATACCATGTCGATCGCCCTGCGACGGTGGTAGACATCCGTGCCCGCTGGCGTCGTTTTGGTAAAGACGACGACAATCAACAGGATCTCGTTTCGCGGGACCCGCCCATTGTGCTAGAGCTAGGCGACATTGACCCGCTGGAGCGAGTGGCGCGTGATGAGGTGGTGCGCATCATGAACGAAGTGGAGAGACTGAAGATTGACGTGACGGACCCGCGACTGGCGCGCTTCGCCAAACTGAAGGAGGAACAGGAACGGGCCGCCCAGCAGGAGGCCGCCCCAGCGGATCACGGAAAGGAGCGTACATGGGCCGCGGCAAGAGGCGAAAAGACTGTTGGACTCCGAAAGGAGGATACCGACCGTCGTCTTCGTATTACCAACATTTCGGATGACATCACGAAGGATGAGCTGTATAATATCTTTGACACAGATGAGTACAGAATTGAGAGGTTGTTCCTTCCAACAGATTCTGCAACGGGTAATTACAGAGGATTTGCTTTCATTACATTCGAGAGTTCCGAACAGGCTGAGCGTTGTCTCAAGAAAACTAAGGGTACTGCGCGCTTTAAGAATACGGTGATGCGCATTGTACGAGCCCTACCAGAGGGTGAGCAGAGGCGTCATTGATTGCAGTATGGTGAATGATTAATTTGGCTAACGAACCACGTAAGTATTTTTAAACAACCAAATCGAATGCCAAAAAAGAAAAAAAAAAGAAAAAAAAAAAAGAAAAAAAAATTGAAGTTCATGCTAATCAAATATCGCGGATCACCTCTGTGATTCATATATTATTATTTTATTTTTATTTTATTTTTATTTTCTTTTTATGGCCTTTTTATGTCTGTGTGTATTGGCAGCATATTTTCTCTTTGTTTCTCTTTCTCTTTATTATGATTATTCCTTAGGATTGGACCCGGTAAAAAACTAGATAGTTATCACCCTCGTTATATATATATATATATATATATATATATATTTTATTTTTATTTGTTCATCACTTCATATTTTCGTTACATATGACGGAAGCACCAAACGTTGATTACCTTTGTACTCGTTTTAGGGAGATGTCAGAGCAACGTGATCGTCTCTTTATGGAAAGAGGAAAAACTTGGCCACGTAGTGAAGATCAATCTTGTTATGTGAATGTCATTACGGGATCTTCTGAATATAATAACTATAGAAGAAGTCCACAACGCAGTTATCAACGTCAAAGTAGTGTCAAACGTTCTGTCACAACTCCTGTTAGACGTCGTACGGATAATTATAAAAGAAATATATTGGATGATGAAGATCGTATTCCATTTGCTGCGAGACCCAGTCGTTCTGCTAGTAGAAATTATTCCAGGAATGAAAATCGAATAAATAGGATAGAACGTAGACCAACTCTCCGTTGGATAGCTGATGATGGTATGGAAGAGAATCAAAGCAAAACAGTAAATTTTAATTTTCGTGAAGAGTCTGAACCTCAGATTCGTAGAAATTCTATGCCTTCTTTTATTGTTGCAAACAAGCGTCCAAGTCCTCTCCTCATGGCTCTTGTAAATGACATTGCGAATCGTCGAGGAGCACGGAGTCCACCAATACCACAAGAAGTTATTATAGCCTTTGAAACTCATGTAGCTCATGGAGCATTTATGCTAAAGTTTGTTTCTAACGGTGCCCCACATGAACGTTTTTTTGTTGTAAAGTTTTTGGATCGTAAAAGTACATTTGCCGAACCCGAACCAGCACTTTGTTGGTATCGTAGTGCCAAGAGTTGGACAATGCAACGGTACTTGCCTCTAGCAGATCTTATCGGTGTAATTGACGGTGGTGAAAATCATCCTGCTGTAAAGAGGCGTATGGTGCAAGCAGGATTTATTAAAGGATCTTATGTAGACTTAAAACCCACCTATTTGCGTGCTGATTATATTGTACAGTGGCATTTTCGCTCTTCCGGAGATGATGAAGAGATTCTGGCCGTAAAAATGCTGGACAGAGAGTCTTATGTTTCTTGGTCGATTGTGATGCACTTCTTTAGTAGTATTGGTTCTGTTTTAGCTGTAGGAACTTAAATAACGGTAAAGTGAGAGAAGGCTTCAAAAGCAAAAGAAGAGGCAAAGAAAAAAAAAAAAAAAAATGCATATAATGTGCTAGTCACATTATTTTATCGATCTTATATTATAAAATGCATGTTTTGTTTTCTTTTTGCTATTTATAGTAGAAGAGAGGGGGTATCATTATGACTGTGGTCCACTTTTTCAACCTATTATTATTAATTGATTTATTTATTTTTTTCTCTGGGATTTTGGCATTATCTCGGATGTAGGTCTCATTGTCTGGTTGTATTCAAGTTTAGTTTTCCTTTTCACCTTATGCGTGAGTGGGTATTTATGTGTATATCTGTATATATATATATATATATATATGTATGTGCGTTATGAATTTAATTTTCTTTTCATAGTGTTAACACGACACGTGTTACTCTTTTTTTTTCCCACTCTTAGTGTTTCTCTACGTATGAGAAATCAATGACAAAGGAGAGGATAAGAGAGAGAGAGTGGGAGGGTTCTTTAAAATCTAATTATCTCTTTGTTCTTGTTGTTCTTGTTTACTTGTTGTTGGTCTCATGATCCCTTCTTTTAATTTTCCTAACTAATTTTTTAAACATTATTATTATTTTTAAAAAAGGATAGCTGGATATATATATATATATATATTATTTGTAGTCTTTTTATAACTTTCTTATAAAATTTGAAATTTTGTCTAGTAGACGACTGACACTATAATCTAAAATTATATTTAAAAACCTCTTAAATTCTAGGAGATGTTAAACCCAAGGCTCTCACTTAGAGAATTATGTCAAGGTTTAAGTACTTCTCAGAGGATTATAATTCTTTATGTCTTTACAAATAGTTTGGCAGGATCAATATGGATGAGTAACGCATGGACCCCTTTTATTTATCAAATTTTTGGTAACAGTAATCTTCATGTTGGTTTATTATCAGCTTTAAATGGAGCATTCGAATTGATATTCGCCCTAATAGGCGGTCACTTAGCTGACAGAGTTGTTGGACCATCAGAAACGTTATTAATTTCTGCACGTGTAGGAATGTGGTCACTTATTACTATTATGATTTCGGTATGGATCGGCAATTGGGTTATGCTTATTATTTCCCAATCACTCTACGGTGCCTATTTAGGGTTAAGTCTTACTTCTGTGGAGTCTGTCTTTGCCCAGAGTATTCAACAAGGTGAGCGGGATCACTTGTATGGAGTGAAATTCAGTTTGGAGGCCTCCGCCCCTATTGGAGGACTTGTGCTTTCACTTATTTTATTTGCTCTCTTTGGCAATACATGGCGTTTGGATGTATTGCGTTGGATTATCACTGCAGGGGTTTTATTACATCTGGCATCTATACAAACACTCCTTTCACGGTTTAAACCAATTCCTAGTCATTTAGATAAGGCGGCGGATGATATACCTTTAGAAATTGGGCAAACTATTCCGGTAAACCTTTGTAATCGTGAAGAACCACGAGTGTTTTGTGTAGAGGAAGAAATTACGAACTGTGGGGTGAAGGAAGAAAAAAGCATGAACCCTCTTTCTCATTTAGATAAAAATGATCAGGAGAAGAATTTACAAAAAACTTCTTCTTCTTCCTCTTCTTATTCTTCCAATGAATGTCAAAGTAAAGATATGAATAAAAATAATCGATGTGCGAAATGTATTTTTTATGTTCCTCTAGAAAAATATCCCTATGTTATAGCATTATCAGATATCGTCATTACGTTGGGGAGTGGTATGACTACACAATACTTTTCACTGTTTATGATGAATATTTATCATATTTCCCCTGTTGGTTTAAGTTCACTTGGATTGTTGATTGCAATGACAATATCTATTCTTGCGATAGTAAATTCTCATATTGGAAAAAAATTTGGAAGAACACGTGCCCTTCTGCCTCCTAAACTTTTGGGTACATTTATTCTTCTTTATATGGCTCTCGCACGTGGAACATTAGCGGCACCTACATGGCTTATGTGTATTGCATATGTTGCGAGAATGGCTTTAATGAATTCCACCACAGCTTTGAGTCGAGCTCTTATCATGGATATTGTTTCTGAAGAGCGACGAGGTATGTGGAATGCGGTAGAATCTTTTCAATCCGCCTCCTGGTCTGGTACGGCTTTGTTAGGTGGATTTCTTGCAGATCGATTAGGATATGGGGCTGCATTTATTGTTACCTTTGGTTTTCATTTAACAGCATGTCTAATGATTTCACCTTGCTTATCACAGAATGATACGGTGTTGACTTTACATCCCAATGGATCTACATTAGGGGATAAGGGAGAAATAGCTTCTTCACACAAAACAACTAATCATAGTAGTTGTTCACATATCCCTGTTGTGGATGAGGTGACTATACTGAATGTCACCGTGACGGAAGAACTTTCAGAGCTTAAGAAAACCATAAGAGAAAATAAGGATAGCACTGAAGTAAGTTCAAGTAAATAGTGGATTGAAATTGCATATTTCTTTCCGCTTTTATTTTATTTTTCCTTTTTTTTTTTTTACTCTTCCTTCGCTATTTTCCCTTTCTTTCTTTTTTTATTGTTGTAATTTTTATTTTTTATTTTTATTTTTCTCGTACCGTTGATGTGTTTAGCACTTTTTTCGTTTGGTATCTTAATAGAGACGCCTGTCATAATTCATATAACTAATAAATATGAACCAATAAAATAATTAATTAAATAAATAACTCTGCTAAACTCTTCCTATAGGATGAGAAAAAATTAATGGTGTGCGTTGTTTTTTTACTTATTTATTTATTTAATGAACAATTTAGTATATATATATATATATATATATATATATATGTACATATATATGTCTGTATTTTTCTCTTTTTGTTTTTGAAATGTGTTTTCGTTTTTCGTTCCTTTTTATTGTTTTCATAAATGATAAAACGAAACGAGTGAAATATAGAATCTATTAAAGCAAAAAAAAAAAAAGAAAAAAAAAACAAAACACAAAGGAATCTGCACAACACCAACAAGAAACCGAAAATAATAATAGTAAAAATTTTTCATTAAAGAAACGAGAGAGAAAGAAGCGGTGAATACAGTTTTGAGAGAATGTCCCTTCACTGCCATGTGATCTATTCTCTCTCTCTTGTGCTCCTCACTGTTACTCTTGTGAGTGACGCCCACCGCCCTCTTGTTCCCCGCACAGAGAAAAAATATTTTATTCACGTCCAATCCCTCACGGAAGGATTAGATGACATTAATGAGCAGCCAACACTGGTGTCGATAACTGAATCCACATCTCTGTGGTTACCGCGTGGTTCTGCAGAAGATAATGATGAACATTTGAGTTTTAATGAAGATTTAGATCCCTTTTGGGTACATGTATTGAGACGTCGACGGTTTGATGTTGTGGAATGGTCTGGGTGTGGAGGTATGTGGAGGCCGGAGTGGAGTGCGACATTGTATGATAAGAAGAGTAATATTAGTAAAAGTACAGAAGAACTTATTTATGAATTATCTCATCATACGGTTTGCTATTTTTCAAGTCTTTCGGCATGTGGTTGGGATCAAACAAAATCAACAGATGGAAAACAAAATAATGATCATGATGAAAATGATGATGAGAGTGACAATATGGATAATAATACTTCTGCTCATATTACCTCTAAAACACAACGACATCATCAGTGGTTAACACAATTTGTCTCTTCATTACTTTCATCACCGCTGAGTTGGTCTCCAGAGACTCCACGACATATTCGCCCTCTTGGGGCTTTACGTTTAGTTCCAAATTCAGCAGTAACTGCTGATGTAAATGGAAAAGATCATCATTGGTGTTCCTATCATCTTGCCCTACATGATACTGTATGTACACAACATGTAAGTGCTTTGCTAAATGGAGGAAGAAGTGGTAGAGGTGTAGATGAACGCATTCCAAAAGGTATTTTTCGTGCAGGATTAGTTACAATGCAAAAATTTTTCTCATCTGAGTTTCATCACTTTCACTTTAGTGTATCACAATCTCCTATTCCACAAAATAATAACACGAAAGATGAAACTGAAATTAATCTTTTAATACGTATGGCATTTGTAGTACGAAAAGGTGATTTTAACGACCTTGCACATCATTGGAGTTCATCTCTACATGAATATGTAGATCGTCTCACATTTTTTGTAGGATCTAATGTAAATGAAAAACTTAAACGTAGTATAAATGGGGTGGAAGGTTTATATATAGCTTCTATGAAAAAGGATGAGGAAAGTTCATTAAGTACATCTTTAACCTCTACTGTAGAGTTGGCACCAACTGTACATTACTATATTTCAACTGTTGGACATGACCGTGGTACATATCAGTTAGTATTACTTCCATCCGAAGTATCCACTATGAAAAGTTCAGATGTAGAAAACAGCGAAGACTTATGGTATGGATTAAAAGCAGGTGATACCATAGAATCACTTCTTCTTTTTCCTCTTCATGTTCTTAGACCATCTTTACATGAAATGCGTTCGGACCCGCATGAGATGTCCAAATTGGAAAATGCATTTTTTGATGATAGTGCTAATGTACTCACAGTACTTGTGAAAACGGTACTCACAGAAGATATTTTGCATGAAATACGTGAAAATAGAAGTGGAACAGCCTCTCGTGGTCTTATTTTATGTGAATTTCCATTTCATTTCGGTTGGAGTGCTCTTAAAGATATGCCGCATGATGCTAATAGCAACCGTATTCTTCCTCAACCTGTTATTCGCGTGGGACAACGTTTTGCTCGGGATATCAACATAAAAACAATGACTGCTACTTCCTCCATCCCTGCAGAAGAGGATGGAAGTTGTGCGGCGTCCACGTGTGCTCCTGTTGCGGCTATGCGAATTGATCACCAAAGTTCACTGGAGCGTATCTTACGTAGTATGTTACCTACAGAACCACAAGATGTGCGTAATGGATCATGTGTATGTTACTATTGGATTAGATGTAGTAATGTTGCGGGAACTACTATGCCTGTTCCTGATCCGGCGATGGTGTTTAATGTGGTATCGCTTGGTCTCGTCTTCTTTGGAATTTTGTCAGGCGGTGTGGTTCGCGTAACACGACGTTTCTTTGAAAAGAGTGTTGCTGTCAAAAACTAAAGGGACTTGTTTCTTTTGCAATTCTATTGCACGTCACTCCAGAGAACACCAGAACGTTTTTTTTTTTTTT